GGGGATACGGCTGTGGAATTTGTGATCATGCAGGGGCTATATAACCCCCGAAATGTTTTTTTTTTTGAGTTTTTTTTTTTTTTTTTTTTTTAAATTACAGCTATTTGAATACATTTTCAGACTCAGAGTAGAGACAGAAGTCCACAAAGTGCTGACAACAGGACAAATGTTTCTGCATGGCAGCATTCTGTACAGTAAACTCTGTCTGGTGAACAAAGTGTAGATCTGAAAGCTGCCAACGATTCTTGGTGAAATCGTTTCTGTCACCATCTGTGGTAGTTCTTCCCATATTAAAAATACTCTGATCATCAATAATTTAGTTTCTACAAAAAGGTAAATTACGTTTGGAAATCAATCTTGTTTTCAATTAAAAAAAATAAATAATAATAATAATAAAAAGAACAGACAAAGCACATTTTCAAAATGTTCAATATAGAAAGTAACTATTTTTATGGCAGACTTTTTTCCACTAGAAAGCCACAATTTTGCAAAGCACGCTTCTGCATTGCATTGAGGGAATCTGAGAGCAAAGTGCTGAAATCTGCAAGGAGCCAGGAAGAAAAAAAAAAAATAAGACGTAACAGACACAATTAAAAACATTGTGTGATTATCTGATATGTCTCAATTCACAGTTCAGGGATGAAATGTTGAATCAGTCGTCATTTCAGCCTGAAAGCAAAATTCTTGTTTAACTGGTGGCATCACTTTTCAACGCTCACTAAAGAGCCAATGAAAATCCGTAAATGTGCAATGCATGCGCTTGAAAAAGTTAATTTGTTGTGATATTTCTGAAAGGCGCTGCTTTTTAAATGTTTCTACTCAGTTCAAATATCTTGTTTACCCATCAGAACCCGTTTTTGGAACAAGACAAACACAACGCAATGGAGCAAAATTCAGCTTTTCTTGTAATTGTTTGCAGTTTTCATAAGAAAACCTTTCAGAAGTGTATTAAAACGTTGGTTGTTTTGTCACATATTTGTAGATAATTTGTCGTAAACCAGGTTTCACTTGCACAATGTCCTACAAAACCGTTTTTTCCCCAATTTCCTTTGCTGACATTGTTAATAAAGCAGCTAAGATGACAATGTTTGGCTCACATTTTGCTTCTCAAATAGAAAATGAATTATAAATCTCCGAGATCCTCTGTCTTTGTGGGAAAGTTTTTCTCTCCTAAATAACTTCTACAGAGTTATGGTTTTTCTTCTATAGAATGCTATTCCTTTTTTTCTTTTTCTTTTTTTTTTCCACTTGTCCACCTGTCTGATTCTTCTGTGTGTACCCTACACAACTGTCAGAAACAAGGACTGGACAAAAAAATTAGATAAAGCAGAGCCAAAGTTTGAGAAACTTTAAAAGTGCTTCTGAAAACCCTGGAAAACTACAAACCAAGGCAACTCTAAAACATGAAAAGAATTGGTCATTTTTCTTACAGAAAAGCAGAGAAAATGTAAGAATTTCAGTATTTAATATTATCAAGAATTTGTTTTGTTGCTGGAATAAATTATGCCCAGAAAAAAATCGATAGTTTTAAAACTTTTTTTTCTTTTTTTTTTAATAGAACCTATTCATATTACACTTGAAAGACTAAACATTGACATGTATGGTTAGTCTTCGGAATGAACATACGGCAAAATGCAAACAGGTTTTTAACTCAGCAATTCTTGTCTGACAATTTATGTGCAGTATATTTAGGTTCATTAAAATTGATATCCATGCTGAGCTTCAAGAAGCAAATGCAGAACAGGAGGGGGAAAAAAAAAAAAAAAAGAGAACAGTTGCTCCCAAATCCCTCAGCCCCTCTGAGCAAGTGTGACAAAGACACAGGGCTTCCACAAGGCAAGTCAGAGGCTCTAAAGCAAAGATGTGTAAAATACAAGAAAGCAAGCTAACACATGTGGGTGAAAAGTGCCTGTAACAGGGAAAATAAGAAGGGAGAAAAGGGGGGATGAGAAGGGAGGGGATGAGAGGGCGAGAGGGGAGGATGCGGTGCCAATGGTTCATCAAAAATTAATGCCAAGCACATTGGTATAGAGATCACGTAGCAGGAAAACAACACATGCCAACAGCCTTGAGTCTCCCGCCTCGGCCCTCCCTCCTCCCGTGCCTCTCCTTTACCCTCCACCTTTCCTTTGCACCGGCGCAGGGCCTTTCTGATCAGGTGGAGGAGGGAGAGATGAGCTCTGACACTTTCGAGAGTTCACACGGAGTACGCTGCCTATAATTGCAGGAAGTTCCACCAGTGCAGCCGCTGCATCTCTGCAGCTGTACCCTAATTGTTGCGTTTAACATCCCTAAAACGGAGATCTAAGGCACACTTTGAGTACTAATGTGTTAGGGTTGTTTTTTTTTGTTTTGTTTTGTTTTTTAAGTTAGAAACCCATTATCTCCATCTGTGACACTTTTGTTATTGCTAAAAAAAAAAAAAAAAAAAAAACGAAAAAAAAAGTGTTTAAGACATGAGGAAAAACAGAAAGCACAGTTCTGGACTTTAATGCAAATTGATCGAGAAAAGGAAGGGGGCGCGATATGGAAAGTGGTAACAGTCCAACCTAAAATAAAAAAAATAAATAAAAAAATAAAAACATGGCTGCCTCAGTTATTCAGCCGAGTTGCTCATACAGATGAGTGAACATGAGCAACATCCAATTCGTTGCAAATCAATAACCGTCTTCACACATTATGTGCTCTTCAGTGAACTGAAAGTGATGACAGAGCTATCATGTCCCGTTTTAATGATGACCTACTGTCGAGCCTCGGTCGATTAAAAGTGCACATCTTGCAAATCTGAAGCCACGTTGCCAAGCAGCGGCTGCGTCGGTTGCGGGTGCCACATACCTGCCGCGTTCACTCTGTTCATGCCTCTGGGGGCATTTTCTCGCTCGGGGCTTTCTTCAGTCACCGGTGCGTTCCCGGTCCTGGAAGATTCAAGAGGAAACAAGATGTTCAACGTTTCACCCAAACTCAAAAATGATGTCAGTCACTGCTAACGTAATGATGAACAAGTGACATGCCAGAGTCAAGACTCGTACAATCGCTAATGGGTTTTCGTCAAGGATTTATCTACAAACATCCTTCCATCAGTTCTAACAAGCTGTCCTGAAATAAAGTACTCCCACAGCATGGTTCTGCCACCACCGTGTTTCACCACAGGGATGGTATATTTAGGATGATGTGCTCTTTTAGTTTTCTGCTGTTTGCATGACAGGCCAAAAGGTCACATGTTATGAGTTCAGGTGCTCACGTCGCTTTTGCCAATTTTCAAACGCGAAACCAAGCTGGCAAGTAAAACCGAATTCACTGCTCAGCAATGCGTACCATTAGCAAATCCAATCCCTCATAGTGTGGTGTCGTCCTTATATGAAATCTGACAATAACTGTCAAATCTCTCGCCGTGTTGGCCACACACACTTCACACGTCCCGTCTTCTATTCCTGTCTCCAAAGTACTTTTCCTCCCACTTAACAACTCAAAAGCGGAGATGAAGAATTCGACGCGAGCAAGCACATTAGGGGGAAATAACTAGCAAAAGAAAGTGAAACCTCTTCAAAGTGGTGGCGTGCTAATAGCTGTGGGCTGTCGCTAGTCCTGTGTGTGGGTACGGAGAATCTGTCGGCATGGAGCCTGACAGGTGTCCTGTGTGTATATGCCTGTGCACGTGTGCGAGCGCCACGCTGAAGTGGAGGTGCCATCCGTATTACAGGGAAGAAGCTTGTTCCCTGGTAATTGGGTTGTTCAGAAGCCAGGAAGGAGCTGCCAGCAGTTGAGGAGGAAACACGCTTCCTGTCACGTTGCTTGTTATTAGCAAGGACAGGGACGAGAACAGATGAGACAAGCTGCGGGTGTGTGTGCGAATGCGAGGCAGACTCCATAATGCAGTCTATGATGAGAGTGTACCTCTTCTCATTGCGAACCCCTCCCCCCGCCCCCGGCGTCCCTCTGTCCGCATCAACCGGCAGTAGGGTGTGAAGGCGTTGTATAAGGCTTGTGTATTTTATTTTTTTTTACTTTGGGAAGAAGGAGAGCTCGCAATGGTGCCGTTATCAGATCTGGACCCGGAGCAGAGTTTGACTTTGGATGCAGACTTCATAATGAAAATCTAAGCAATAAGTAAAGCAACTCATTCCCAGTTCAGAGTAAAAAAAAAAAAAAAAAAAAGCATGATGGAAAATCTTCACCTGAAAGTGACATAAAGCAGTTTTTAATTTTACACATGAAGCACACAATATTAGAAAAAAATCTAAACTTTAAAGTAAACACCTAGCAAAAATATAAATATATATATATATATATATTTGTAGTTGCAACTCTGAAACGGTCTCTGTCAGCAACTTCAGAAAACATACCTGAAAATTGTCTGAGTGGAATATTTGGTTTTGGATTAACTATATGAAAAAGTCATGAAATAACTCAATATGAAGAATTGACTGAACAACATCCAAGAGTAGAGATTCAGTAGGTTTTTTTTGTTTTTGTTTTTTTTTTTCCCAGTGAGTTTGACATACAAGTCAAATCAAACGACACTGTCAGGTGCTTTAAAAGATGTCAGCAACTGAGCAACGCGCGGGGCCTGATTAAACCAGCAGGGGGTTTATCTCAGTTTAATTACAGCTTCCCTTCTGCTAACAGCGCGCAGCGCTGCGTGGCCAGCCGGCGAGTTAAACGGTCATCTAAACAGTCGGTCAATCAGTCGCCCTGTCAGCTCGCTGCGGCTTGGACACGCGCCCTCGCTGCAGCTCCTCCGCTGGAGCGGAAGAAAAACGTCCTCCGTCTCATATATAACTGCACACACACACATTCGCTCAGAGGTCTTATGTGCACCATCAGACAGAAATGTATGAGAAAAGGGTCGCATGTCTCTTTACAACCTTCTTTTCATATCCAAAACCAAACATCCTGGCAGGATTTAGTTGGAAATCCATTTAACACGTGTAACTTTTTTTTTTTTTTTTTTTTTTACTGAAATCACACATCTGAGGTAAATAAAATGTGACATATTTAAAGGCTCATATTATGTATTTTGTAATGTCACACATTCTTACATTTAGGTTTTTGTTTTTGCATCGAAGACTTTAATAATTTAAGTATTTCCAGCTGTCTAAACATAGACGGTTCAGTTTCAGAAAAGTGCCAGACTTAATAAATGCTTCAACATAACATGTGCTAATTGATTAGAAATGCCAAGATCAATGAAATTCTGAACAATATCATGAATTCAAGCATGAAAAATGAGGCAACAAGATTTGCTTTTGGTTTCTGTCTTCAATTTATCACAGGCTTTGTCATTGTGGCTTCATTCTTTCTTTTGGGGTCAAATGATTTTCATGCCCTTTGGCATTTCTTTATCTCATCCGCGCAGACTGCATTCCGCGTTTCCCTCGGTTCCGCTCATGCATGTGTCGAAATTAACTAAAAGCAGTGCAAGTGCAAGAAGAGTAGGAAGGGTAGCAGATATAGAAGGGAGAATGGGGAGGGGGGAGATTTGGTCAGTTCATGAACCAGTAGCCTTCAAATGAACCTGCTCCCTGGTGACTTCCTGCCTTACTCTGGGCCAACTACCTGCTGGTGAAACAGCAGATGTCTGATACGGGTAAGGAGGGAGAGAGACTGTGTGTGTGTGTGTGTGTGTTGTGTGTGTGATTGCATCAAGAGAAGGGATTTAATATGCAAGAATAGATAAAGAAAAGAGGGGAGTGTGAGGCTGAGAGGTGGTGGCCGTAAGGGGGAGACTGAAGACCCTGATGGTAGTCTATCTGCTGAGTCCCTGACCAAATCATAAGGTGGTGTGAGAGAGGGCACGTGTGCCCCTCCTGTCAGCAAGCACACACTGATAGCACCGGACCTGGGCACAACCCATCACATGCCAGCTCCTCACGCTCCCTCTGACCTTTATTTCTCCAGATTTCCCAAAGTCCACGCAGCACCCCTCCAATAAATTCATGCAACTTTGCTTCTCACCTCCTCCTCCCTCCAGGTGTTCCTTTGTTCCTTTTCACTCAATTTCCCCCATCACATCTTTACTTTTATCACCTGTTTTTTTTTCTCTCTTTTTTCTTTTAATACATAGGACAGCGGTATCGCACAGTGCTGGAGTGAGGTCTGTTATTTCAGATGCACCGAATCCAACAAAGACCGAGACGATGAATGATGCAACCATCTAGACTCAATAGCCATATGAAGGTTCTGTTTCCGTAACTTAAGAGCTCTCAATAATTCCAACTCATATTTTATATTCAAAGACAACTGTCTCTGGCACCCCAGTGTTAAAGTTAAAGGACAAACTGTGGCCGACTGACCTGCTGGTCCCCTGACTTGTGCAGCTGTGGGAGGTTTTCCCAGTCTTGTAGGAAGCAAAGCTGGGACTCTGAGCTAACGTTCCCAGAGCGGGCAAGTAGGAACACACCTGTTGGAAGTGACATATGAGGTTAGACGGTACATGTACACTCTGAGTGGAAGGGAGTGTCCTTGTGAAACTGAGCGGGTATAACAACCAGATGTTTGCACTGTGACACGACACGGTTTTTTTATCCACTTCCCATGGTGCTTAACGTAGAATAAACAAACTATTAAGAAGCAATAACATCAAATTTACTCATTTACTGGTGATCAGCTCTTACATATAGATAATGGGTGCATTTATTTAGAATATAAAGACATTTGCACTAAATACCGTGAGCTGTCCATTACCTTTCATCTGAAAATCAACAAGGATTTCTCAAAACAGTATTTAGAAAAGTCTGCATCAAAACATGACAACTTCTAAGAAAAGATATGTTCTTAATAGTTAAATTCAACACATGCAAGAAATGCATTATTTTGTGCATGAACGTGTATATCTAATGTTTTGTTGGTATTTTAAAACCTTTCATTAGGCCAAAAAGCAATGAATAATGTAAGTTTACATTACTGACTGGTTTTGTCTGTGCAGATCTCTGGAATGAATATTTCTCTCATTTAAAAAAACAACAACAAAAAAAAACAATCAGATATTATGTCTGTATCATCACCATATGATTAGGGTACACTTTAAAAGAAATTAACATTTCTGTGGTAAACACTTACAATTTTCTTGAGAGAGAGAGGTTCATCGCCCACGGTGAAGCCATTTCTGCAGCAGAGATTCCTGAAGATGGCATCAACCACGACCAACTTTAGCCTGGTGGAGTGAACTCTGCAAACCAGCTCCACCAAAACGGCTGGACACAGATCTAAAGGTGAAAACAGAAAACATAGCATCTTGGAATATATTGTTTTGTTTGTGATGATAGCTAAACCCTCTCCAGCATTTTATATGCTCACTGCAGATGAAACATGTCTTAGTTTTAGCATATAAAGGTGTCTCCAAACAGACAAAATCCAGTTGTTTTTTTTTCCATCCGTACCCTGGCTAAGAATGGCGAGGTGCTCCGAGAGGTCTTTGAGGCCTTTTTCCACCAGACTCTGATTAAGTTTAAAATGCTGCTGACACCAAAACTCCACCAACACAGACAGAAGATCCAGCAGAGTGTCTGCCAAGTACAGCTCCCGCTTCTCTGCTCCCTCAGCAAATTCCTTCAGTGAGAATAAACATCATAATATGGATAAAAGCAAGCTTTACAAAGAACATCAATTACAGAAGAACACTTTAATAGGTGCATTAGGTGAATGCCTGACCCTTTATCCAAAGGACATTCCACAGTATTTACCATAATGGCAGCTTCTGTTAGGAGCTGAAGAAGCTTTTTCACGGTGCAGGACAGCAGTGTTGTTCGTTCCCACACGGTCCAGAAAGTCCCATAGATCAACGAACCAGAAGCTGGTGCAGATGACGCTCTGGGTTGTTTGGGAAACATAAAGTCTCTGATGGAGATACAGACAGAGATACGATTATGGTGCATCTCAATAAATCAAAACATCACTGAAAAAATTATTTCAGCAAATCCAATTAAAAAAAAAAACAAAACAAGATTCTTCTAGTCTATAGATTCATTATACACAAAGTTATACATTTAAGAGTCTCTTATTTATGATTAAAATTGATACAGATAGGAAAATCAAATGTTTTATCCACATTCTAAACATTCTCTTACTTCTATACAAAAAAAAGTAAATAAACATGTAGATAAAATGTTACCTGCTGCTGACAGAGTGAAGTTCACCCTTGAGAAGCATGAGGCAAAGTGCAAGCATGTCACAGTAGAAATGCACCAAGGCTGGCAAGGCGGGTCCAGGGTGTGGGTGACAGGTGTCGCCGTTTGTCAGGCAGTATCTTGTCGACCACACATGAAAATGTAAAATCATGTCATGTTAACTTTGCACAAGTGGTGAGGCTCTTTTGATGTCCAACACAGTAAAATAGGAATGTCAATGTCTTTAAAACAGACACATTTTGCAAGAAACCTCACTGACTTCAGGCTTACCTGATGGCGGTCTCTAAAAGCGGCCATAAGCCCATCTTGCACCGAGGACACTGCAACACTTGGGCATAGTATTTTTTCACTGAGTTTTGAGCCAGCCATGGAGGATTAGTAATGAGCAGGTTTACCATAACCTGATGGAAATTTCTCAGGAAGAGGGACGTGGCGTTGCCCTATGCAACGTAAACACAAACAGCGAGTTTTAGTTGCTTTGAGTATTTGGACCAAGAGATACTGTGTGAAAATAAACCGAATCTGCAACATATAACATTGCAGACATAATATCTGTTGATCACTGGAGTTCGATATCACTGGAAAATGAATCAGGTTACTCTTTTCGACAGATAACTTGTCACTATAAGGCCTTTTTTCTATCGTGCATGCTTTTACTTGAGCATTGTTTAGTGCATCAAAAACACACAAAACAATCCTACTCTAAGTCGTCTATCAACACACACAATCCATTAAGATTTAAACATGTGGTCCGACCACTGATGTATTTGTACAACCCTTTAGGCTCACAAAGCCGCAGGTGGGGATTTGTGCAGTCAGGTATTTTCAGTCCTACCTGCTGTGCGTACTCTATGAGGGAGATCAGGTATGTCGCTGGTGGCAACACGCCTGGAAACACGGCACTTCTGATCGAATCCAAGGCCTCGCTGACTAGGCCGCACTCTATCATACTACTGATGTTGCTTAAATCTGCTACAATTGCCTGGAGGAACAACAGAACAACGGTGAAATGGAAGAAGTATATGGAAAGAAGGGAGGAAAAAAAAAAACATGGCACTCAAAGAGACAGATGGCAGAAAGAGGAGAAGCGAGAGGGCAGGAGGGTAATCGAAATAAGTCGTGAGTTGGCATCGGAAGTTCCTGAGGGTCATTTTTGACCGTCGCTTATTGGCAAATAGCATATGGACTCAGAACGTCCTGAATGGAAATACAAGAGTAGTCCTAATAGCAATCTGACAGACATCCACTTGGGTAAAGTATGGACAGGACGGTGGAGAGCATTGTTAATAGGTCTGCCAATCACAGCTCTCAGATCAGTGGAGAGAGGTGGTTAAATCAGTGACCTGGTTTTGATGCGCCCTCGCGCTTGATGTCACTTTCCATTGAAATGTATGACATAAAGGAAATTGAATGACCTGATCTGCTTGATGAAACACAGAGTTATCCTGCAGATGAACGTATAGCACTGATTGTGGCTGGGGGTTGATATGTATGCACACCTACCTGTGTGAAGGGACGGTGAGGGTCACGGTAACCTAGAAATTCAAGGAAGCACAGTCTGGGCCGGCCCTGCAAAGACAAAACACCTGAAAGAATGCTGGCGAACAAGGTCAATTAAGCGAGCAGAATGTAGACCAACGGAAAGTTTTTCTTTCAAATCCTGTTCAAACTTTGCGCTTCAGTGCGTTTCTGAAACGAGCTGCAACAATGAACACACCTCTTTTTTGACAGCAAAATTCCTCAGTTCTGCCTCCAAATTAGAGAAGCCATCAAGACAGTTGGCTTTTGTCCCGGATGGAAGATCATCCACTTCGTTAAAATTTACATCCAGGCGATTGCTCTGTCAAACAAGAAAGACAACATAAAATAAAATAAAAATAAAACCAGCGTGGGCTGAACCACCGGCATCTTCTTGAACGAGTGCCATGTCACCTGGCGTGTAAGAAAAACCTCAAGACCTTTCATTGGTTTTCTTTTAACTATTTAACCATCTTGCTTCTTATTAGAAGACCAGATTTGTGAAGTGAACACCTGAGGACTATCCTTGTCACAAATTCCTCCCTTGATCAGTGGATCTCTGTAGCTCCTCCAGAGATCCACTAGGGCTTCTTAGTTGCTTCTCTGAAAAACGTTGTTCTTGCCCAGCCTGCCAGTTTAGCTAGATGTCCATGTCTCGACAGTTGCTTTCATAAACTAACCCTGTTAAACTTTACAACTTCACTCCTGATCTGACTGGTTTGTGTGTGTGTGTGTGTGTGTGTGTGTGTGTGTGTGTGTGTGTGTGTGTGTGTGTGTGTTTTCGCTTCACTACTATGCATTGTTATGTCAGTCAAGCCTGTAAAATTCCAATAAAACACAGGGAGGTTTGGGGCTGTAACATAAAAATATCTAGAAAAGTAAAACGGCTGGGTTTCATATGTTTTGCAAAAACTTAACACTAACGTACCCCGAAGAGGTGTTGGACTATATGGCTCACGGGGTAACAAGGTGAGTTAAGAGATTTTGATTTCTCCGTCACAGGTTTCGCCATGACGTGAGTGATGGACGTGTACATCGGTGGAGGACAGTTGTACACTTCTGCTCTCCCAGCTTTCAGCAGCCTGGATGAAAAAAAAAAAAAAAAAAAGAGTAAACGTCTTTCATACACGAGTGTTTTCTGAGCGAACTTATATCGAGGTGGAATCTCACCGTTTGAACATGGCTCTTCTGTTGGGCTCTTGGACCATGAGAAGAACTCTCCAGCCCTGAAAAGCACCCGTTATTTGACCTTTGGTTACCTTCTCCCTCCACTGTCTGACGGGGTAAAAGGCGGCTGAGGAGCTGGTGAAAATGGCCACTTCGTAGGGTCCCTCGGGCAGCCAGGAGCCGTTCTTCATGCTTTCCAACACATAGTTAGGAGTCACAACCCACTTCCCTGGGAGGCAAAGGCGACACCACTTAGCATCGGACGTGAAATAAACAAACATGACAGTCAAGAGCAAAACGAAAAACAGTAGACCAGTTATGTAAACTTAAGGTGAAAACTAAAAGAAAAGATCTTTTAGGACATCAGCAAATGTTTGACAATAATCCCAACGACTGACCTGCCGCACAAGCTGCCAAAAACTTCTCACTGGGCAAAACCTGGGGGGTTATGAGATGAGTGGTACAGTGCTTGTATACCTGTGAAATATACATGCAAAGGTTCAAATAAATGGGATTAACTGAAAGGTAAATGAAACCGGATGTCTTGGGGGTAACCAGTTACGACAAAGTAAGCTCGAAAGAACGCATTAAATATATTCGTTCCGAAATATCAAGAAGCGTCGAAGTGCTACGTGCGGTCACACGGGTATTTGAAAATACAGCACTTCATAATATCTACAGGTACCTTGTTTCACCTTATTTCAGCTGTGGAGCAGAAGTCTGAGAGTCTGCATTGGACAAGTGCACCTTAAATAGCACTTATGGGTTATAGAGAGCATAATTATTTGTTTTAGCAGCTTGAAATTGACAGACGTTCTGATTTTGTGAAGTGCCAAAAATCATCAACTGAGTTCAGAAAAGAAACTGATTACTTTTCTAGAAATACTCAAAAGATGGCGCCTAAAATGTAGTAAATGTTTCTGCTGTGCAGATGCTTTTAAATGGGCTTAACTATAAGTCAGGTCTTATAGTTAATATTACTACTGTTGACAAGTACTTAAGGAGCGTAGCGGGATTAAGGAGAATTCACAGGTATATCAACTGAATCAATGAAGAAAGGATTAGATGTTGCATATTTTATTTTGTGTGATTTTGCATTTCTTTATCGCAAGTGTGTGTAGATGAGTGTGAACACATTGATTACATATACAGAATAAGTAAAAAAAAAAATAAAAACATTTTCATCTGTTTGCTGACAAATAGCAAAATTAGACATTTTGTAGATCCCCAAAGTAAAATGCATTAAAATTGCTCTTAATGATACCAATAATTTTATCAAATTATGTATGTCAGTTGTGTCTATATGGGTGATGCAAGTTTTAAATTGAACAGTCAGCTTGGAAAACAAGCCAAATCATGGGTGATTTATCTCATGTGAAGTATTACATGAAGTAAAATCCATAACCTTACACATAATAAAAGTACAAAGACAAAAAAAAAAATACAGTATTCTCTCTATATTTTAAGGCACCTTAAAGGCAGAGTTGGTATGGTACAAAAGCAAAAGAATAAGCTTGCAAAATGGAATCCGTCTTGTCAATTGCATATTTTTTTTTGCAATTGTTTGGAGTTAAAATCAACGGATTAAATACATAATTCAAACATACATAAAACATTATTAATTTGAAAATATGACTTAAATTTTTGATAGTGAAAATTAGGTTAAAATTGGATTTAGGCATTTATGCCATCAGCAATAAAGCAGTCTCTAGTGTGTTGTATGTGTAGTGATTCATTTGGGCTTGAAGGTTACTGGTAAAACTAAGCAGCTGATAGCAGTAGAGGTCATGGTAGGAAACAAAAAACAAACAAACAAACAAAAAAATTGGTTAATTGTTGTATTAAAAATGCAACATAACTTTAAGGATGTCAACTTACTGAGCCACCAATGTATTTTCCACCAAGATGATAAATGCCCTTAATCAAAACTCTCTTTTTATCCTGCGCTTTGATCCCAGAGATCTGGAAAACATGTGTGCAGCTCTCCATCCTGAAAAGGAAACCAGCAGAAAATAAGGTAAAAGTGAATGTTAATGTACAGGCAGGCAGGCCGGTCACATAAGTCTCTGAACAATATCATGCTGTAACACTTACAGCATGATATTGTAAGTGATTTTACCTGTCTGATTACACAAAGCAGACAGGTAAATAAGCTATGCAGCGTGGACTACGTAGAGATAATGACTCCGAATTATGCAAGAATTTAGTGACTAACAAAGACATATTCCTACTGGAAAATCCCTTTAGAATTAAAGATATGAAGATATTAGAGGAACATGTTGATCGCTTAGAGAATTTTGTATAAATCTGTAATGGATCTTCTTCCTGAACAGACAGGCACTTTAGATCCAAATAATGTGATTATAGCTTCTTTGACAACTTGGCAGTACATTTGGCATTTTAGCACAGCTGGGTTTCCTGTTGACTCAACTTGTTTAACTTGTTAAAGCAGATTAGGTTGTCCAACTACTGTGTAATATTACACTACAACTACAGTAAACCAATCCGACCTGTTGGCAGTTGCAACATCAAATGTGGGCTTTGGTGTGCTACAGAAGAATTCCTTTAAATGATCCATTTCAAACTTCCTAACAAAGGTTTCGAAATTTGATTATCCACTAAACACACATTCTTTACAGCACAATTTGTGATCTGTGCAACAGTTGAGCTGTTTGAAAAAAAAAAAAATCCCAATGAAAGGGAAGTTTCTATGCTTTGTTTCCCTATCTAAAACAAACAGTTAAAGATCCTCAGTTGCAGTTCAATACTCTGATCACAGAGGACTCAAATGCCAAGTAAGCAGTGAAATAGGTAGGGCCTCGTTGTATTATCTGCACAATGTTTCAGTAAATCACAATCAAAAATGATTGTCTAGGTTTACGTAGCAGATAAAAGTTTAATGTGAATATAAATTAATGGTAAAATAGCATAATTTTGCAGAAACATTTCTATCTTTCATGGAACAGGCAGAGATGCACCTTTCAACTGTGGACAACTTTTACTCACTGCCCATTACTCTGATCAGAAATGGGCAGACAAAATATTGAACATTCATTGTGTTTTTTTTAATTCCTCAAAAGCGTAAGCAAAATACTTCCACCATTTTCAGTCTGCAAGCAAAGCAACCAACAGTGTGCACTCTGATGCACTTTTTTTGAGTTAAATGAGAATTAGTTACATATGAGAATGGATAAAATATTCTTGTTATTCCTCTTTTCTGCAGAAAATCTGCATCAAAGTATCTGAAACACACTTTCTCCTTTTTTTAAGTTTTATAATCCTAATGAATAGTTGAGGCATTTCAGATCATTTCATGCTGTCAATGAATTGTGACTTTAGCAGGCCTGATTGTCTAATAAATCTCCCAAAGCATAAGTTTTCCTTAGAATCTAAAATACTCAAGCAATATGTGTTCCCGTCCCTAACAAAAAACAAACTGGTAACTTCACTTCTTCCCAAACGTGTTTGCTTTTTTTCAGTGTTTTGCACACTGTTTTGAACTCTTTGAACTCAGATGACATAACATAATCTTTTATTTTACTAATTTTGCATGTACGCATCAGCATGTACAGTTCAAAATATTTGCAAAAAATAAAAATACTGGTTGTTCAGCTGTATCGTATCATTAAACTATGAGTTTATATTTTGTATCGTTGCTTTGATTGGATAGTTGTGGACCTGCGATTGTTAATGAAGTTGTCATCGACCGACATGCCATACTTTTCATACGGCATTATTTTTCTGACACACATCTCACCCAGTAAGCAAATACGTGCTGTGGATATTTATGAGTATGTAAATGCAGACTATCAACAACCCAAACTATTAAACTAGTACCTTTCTCATGCCACAGACGGTGACTCCCGATCACATCCAGACGCGCCAAAACTCTGATAGTAAACAGACATCCAACGATGGCAGCGGTGTTGTGCTCACTGTGTTGTTATTCCCTGTAATACCATATTAACCGTTGCCTTAAAAAAATATGCGCAATGTCTTTGTGCCTTAATGTAAACGCCCTGATATTTATGTTTCAGGCTTGTGTTTCACTCCGTAAATGTGGAACAAGATCTAAGCCACAGTTAATCTATAGATATAAAGGGGGTTATTTTCACGAGTCAACGCGTTGTATTGTCAAAACATCAATTTAAGTTACTTAACCTTCACATAAATATAAACCAATTTATATTTATAATGTAGTGTTACACTAAATAAATTTTTTTTAGCAATCAAATGCGTCTTTTTAAGTTTATAAAATAGTGCTATAACCTCTCAGTCTTGCAAGTTGGTACGCTCCGTACAACGGAAGTTTTCACAAAGCTACTTCCGGGTTGTTGTCACGGACGCTTTCAGTTCCCGGAAGTAACCATAAATAACAGGATTATCGCTGTGCTTGAATAACGGGTACATGTTAGCTAAACCTTCACCAGAATAATTCAGCCAAATTTATCCCAGAGAGATGCATGCAGTTTATTGTCTGTCAACCGTAATGCTTTTTTTTAATGCATTTATAGTGATAGCAGCACAGTTTTCGAGAGAATGAAACGAAATGATATTACATGGTAACACATTGCATGTCTTCCTTTCGTAGTTTTGTTGCATTTATAAATTACTATCGCGGATAAATATAAACTGGAAGTGACTTCAGATTATGTGAACCGCTGCTGTAGAGGATTAGCACGGATTGGATTTACAAGGAGTTTGAAAGAGGTAAAACACACTAATAACACTTCTGCTGTTAATGTTATTTTTGACTATTAAAAAAAATAAATAAGCGCACGGTACGCTTGCAATACTTATTTTACGTGGGTACAACTGGTTCTCAACGTATGCTCAAATAAAATGGATCCCTTTCTGAAACAAGAAGAAGGCGAATCCAATTTCTTGAGCGCTGGGTGTGCTTGTGTCTCTACAAGCTTGTGAATGTCAACAAATCTGCCGCTGACATGCACGTGCGCGCGCGGTCAGACAGCAGAGCAGCTTCGAAGCTAACCTGCTGGCGTTAATGATTAACAGCTTATCTTATCAACGATATTTGTGGTAGCTTTTATGCAGTTATATTTTGTTAATGTTTGGACTTTTTTCCCCCATTCTTTAATTGAGTCTATAAAAGATGTTAGATATTTTTGAAACGGACGACTCGACGGTGTCAGCTCCTAGAAATTAAAAAAAAGGGTCAGTTAAAATTTTCTCTAGAGTCACATTACATTTGATTCTGGCCGAAGGGCTGAAACACATTTTTGAAGTAACAAAGGTGGGAAGTCAGATGTAGTTGCTTTCAGGTACTAAACTGTTTTACTAAAAAATATATTTTTTCACATTCCATGCACTTGTTTTATCTTTCAGTTAATTGTAACATCCATTTAACAGAAAACTATAAGCGCAACATTAGTTATCAGAACTTGAGTTCATTCAAGAATGTGTTTTAAATTTACCTCTTGCATTAAGTGAAATTCAGTCAAGCATAGCATTATGACCACTAGCAGACTGATGATATGAATAGAAGTGTTTATTTCTTTTTTCTGATTACCTTCCGGCTGATTTGATTAATTAGAAGCAGGAGAAATTGTGTAGTGTCAGGTTTTTGAATGAATTTGACATGTACCAAGTTGGGAGGGTTTGGTGCCTGCGTTAAAACACCTCCATAAATACAGCTTCTCTAGGTTGTTTCAAGCCTTCAGTTGTCAGTATGTATGAAAACTTGTCCATTGAAGAAACAGCTGTGAGCTGGAGAAATGCGAAGTCACATTAAGCAGACGTGAGGAGCAAAGACTCGTGGTTCAATTATTGAAGCTCAAATTGCTGCTGATGATAATGCTTGTTCTAATAGAAATGTTTCTCTATACTCAGAGCATCTCAGCTTATTGCATTGTGGACTTCAAAGCTGCAGACCACTCAGGATTTTTTTTTTTCATCTTTTTTTTTTTTTTTTTCCAGCATTAAAAAGGATGCTGCCACAAAGCAAAAATTTCTCAGAAATGGTTTGAGGAGCACAACAATGAATTGAGCATCTGTGGGATGTCCAGACCACGTGGACCCTGGTTAGCAACATTTATTCTATACTTTCACCTCTTCTTGAGGTTGGGAATTGACTCACCCTTCTTCTGAACTACACAGATTAGGTTGTTATGGAACATCTTAGGCTTCAAGGTCACATTTGTGACGATGTAGTCTTGTCTGTCCTCCAGGTGTATACAAGGATCCCCCCCCCACCCCTCAAGCCCCTCCCCACACCCACCCCACGTAGTCCAGCCAGAATCTCACATGCTTCTCTAAATTGTCCTCTGGGGTGAATGCATGTGTGCATTGTTGTTGTTTTTTTTTTTTTTTTTTTTCTTTGTGTTGCCTGGCGATGGATTGAGCGATGGAAAAAGCACCAGCTGTCCCTGCAAGGTGGGAATGGATGGTTTGAAGGATGAATGAGTGCATGGAAGGAACCTTTGGGGATCTCTCATGACTTCCTCTGTAGCTGTGCAGGCTAAGAGCTAACTGAACCTTCTCCTTCCCAGATAGCAGGTGACAAAAGTTGAATTGGTTCATTAAGAGTGTTAGTCCATCTTAAAATATGAATTGTTTTTACTTCATTTATTTTTAATTTGCAACAAGTGAAACACTTCGTTCACTTTTTTTTTCTCTCAGTTAGCTAGATGCAGTTAGCTAGATGCAGTTGAAGATTTGTTCACAAAAGTAACAATGAACCAAAGTATGCCAACTGAATTTAGCATCATATGCTAGTCTTCCAATCAACAGAAGGTGAATCCGGTGCTTTGCAATTGAAGGACACCAAACGTAACAGAAAAGAGCAGTGGAGGCAGCTCCACCCTTAAAGGGCGTCCAGCCACATAGAACGTAGAAGAGAGTTGTCCAAAGTGCTAAATTGTTTTTGTTTTTTTTTCTTGTTGTTGTTTTTTTAGTATTAAAATGACTTTAAATTTAAGTTAAGGCGTTACACAAAGACTAACCAGTTCCAAAACTGTAACTATTTAATCTTGGAAGATGGTGGCTGCAGCCGATCATGGCGCATGAGTTTCTCTGGCATTTAAACTGTCACATTTAAAGCCATAGACAGGGATACTGTATATAAAACAAGTGACACAAGGATAATTGTAGATGATGAACTACTTAATTTACTTGCTGTAAAAATCAAAACTTTAAGCCAGGATGAAATTGGCATCAAATCTGTTTGAAGTCTTGTTTGATATATACAGCAGTTTTATAGTAACTGAAGGTAACACAGTTACTCAATTGTGCTATAAAATGGCACTATGTACCAGGAAAATGCATAATTGCTTTGAGATCTGTGAGATTGCCCCTTTTAAGCAATCCCCTGCTCTTGGGATAGCTTTGAGATTTTCAGAACTGTTGTGATCTTGGAAAATGCACCTGTTTAATTTATGACGTTTCCTGAAAAGAGGCTGTTTAGGTACTCACTTTAAAATAATGTTGACTCTAACTTGACATGTTCTAAGTAGTTTTAAAGCGGCAGCCTGAGGGACCTGCTGCTGAATATTTCAGGACAAACTCATTACTGTAAATGGGCCTGTGTGGTAGCCTAGCTGGAGTAGACAAGCCGCAGCAAGAGAGATGGGAAAGTGGTGTGTGCGTGTGTGTGTGTGTGTACGTGCACATAAAAGTGTGTGCATATCTGTAAGGCTAGGTATCTTTCCCATGTTCTAACAGTGGTGAGGCTGACGTCTCAGGCAGTCTGCGTCTCAGTGCTGAGCCCAGTTGTCCCTGTTGCAAATTTTTGAAACACGCAGGGGCTCATCTAACATCTGCTTTCTAAAGAGCTAACGACAAGACAGTGGAGACTGGATGATTTAAAGTGCTCTGCTAATGAGGCCCCGCGTGCTGCCTTGTGAATCCTACACGTTCATGTACACGCTCACACTAAAGATATGTTGGCGGACCAGGCGGTAGAGACCCAGCAGAGCGGATAGTCAAACCCACTGTCTGTAAATGTGTGCATTTATAGGCAAATTAATATTGTGTTGCAGACAGAAGTACTAAAATTACCTTATTTAGTTCATAACAGTGTCTTTCACATATCCCTTTAAAATGTTCACATTTTCTCACATCACAACCAGTTTCACCAATGTAATTGGATTTTAGGGTTTCAGTCGCACCATGTTCCTTGCATTCTTTTGGGCAGTGCATTGTTAGATGTCAGCGCTTGGGATATTATTTCATAACCCGTTTTAAACCTCGCTGCAACTTTATTACAACAGTAAATAATTTGAAATCCACCGAGGTAAACTCTTCCCACAGTTCAGCCGCGCAGCATTTAGACCCCCTTCTCAGACAGTGGCACAGAGGGAGCATGATGACGAGGGTAAGCAGTAAGAGAGAAGAAGAGGGGGAGAAATAATAAAGGACAAGCTTAACTGGCGAGGCTGTCAGCGGAGGAAAATAATATTTGTCCAGCTGGACAGGCCTCCCTTTGTGCAGGCTAAATGAATGTTGAGCTTCCTGTCTACCCTGTCAGGGAGAGTGGCGTCGACTGTATGCTGCAGCGAGGAAGCAGGGCTGCGTGCAGGGAGCTGTTTGGAGTTTGACAGGGATTATTAAAATCAGAGCAGATGACGAGGAGAGGGGCAAGAGACGGAGTGTGAGAAAGCTAAATTGACACAGACACTCTCCATTACCTTCCACTTGACTCGCGCTGATGACAGTGTTGATATGAGACCCAGCAGCGCAGCATCGACACGGGATTGGTTGTTAGCGCGAGCATTAAGCACCATGGGGTAGGAGGGGAGGACCTCACTGCTGGTAGACACCTAAGGAGATGAGTTGTTTATTTAAACTCTTGACTGGGGAGGATGTCACCTCATTGTTTATTTATTTGATTTTTTTTTTTCTTTTTCCTTCTTCTGTATTCTCTAACTGTATTGTCAGTATGTAAAAACCTTTGGAGGCCAAGCTAATGCATTTTGATCAAGGACTTTTCCACTGCATATGATTTTCTGTGAAAACTGGGAGGGGTGGTTGGGGGGAGAGGGGAAAACAAAAAAAATATATTTTCTAGATGATAACTTGTCTTTGTTTCATGTGTTGCAAGTAAATTGATTCTTGCAATCTAA